CAGAGGGCTCCTCGTCTCCTGAAATCCTTAGCACGTCTCCATCAGGTCGGCTTCCTCTTCTATTTTAGAGTGATGCAGACTAAGACACCAAACATTTGAATTATTTTGCCTGAAGTCCATAACAACTATTGGAAAAGCCAGGATTCAAATCTAGGTCTGTCTGATACCGAAGCTTATAGGAGTTTTGTTTTTGTTTTTCTTTAACCATTGAAGCACAGACTCCTTCTCCACAATTAAAACAATAAGCTTGCAGTTTCCAGCTCACAGGGACCCCATGGATCCCAGAGTGGAACTGCACTGTACAGAGTTTTCAATGGCTAGGACCTGACACAAATGTATCTGCAGGCTTTTGCTTTAGCAACACCTATGGGTGGAACCAACCTTTCAGTTAGTTGCCAAGTGCTTAACCATCTGTGCCACAAATGCAAACTCTTTTCTCATATTTTTCTGATCTGAGAGACCAGCACCACCACAAGAGAAATATGTCCCAGTTTCGAGCTGGTCTTGAGCAAGAATGGAAGGCACTTGCTGCACTGGAGGCTGGAAGTCTAGAGCTCAAGGGCGGCAGAGGTCCGAGAAGGAAGCGATAGTGCAGAAAAGTGGAATATTCTGCTTACAAAAGGAAAACCCACAGACATCCAGTCAAGGTGCAGCATAAATGGGACCTGAGCCAGTTTTACCCTCATGTGTTTACCCACGGACTGTGACATTTTGAGCATAACTTCCGCGCTCATTGCAACTAGAATTCATATGGATAAAATCAAGGAGGCGGGATGGAAAAGGGATGCTACGGTTTGCCCCAGGTGCTGCCAGCCCTGAAGGATGGTGTCAATAATGTAATCTTATATAAGTACTAGCTGTTAATATGAATCCATTTGTTCAAGGAGAAGTGGAATGAGAAAGGAACTTAAAATGCACTGTGTAGATACTCAAGAGTCTATAGCAAAGGATCCCTGGCACTTGGCAGACAACGAGGTACCCTCAACAGCATGTATTAATTCATAAGTGGGGTTTGAGCTCTCTACCCCTGTGAGCAGCACAATTTCACAGCCCTGATGAAAACTGCAAGAAAGCTACTAATTTTCACTTCATAAAATGCTCCCTGTGAAAATGTATTGGGAATTTAGCCAGAAGGAATTTTTATGTTAATTTCTAGTATGGAGATAGGAAAGGGGGGAGGGAGAAAAAAACGAAATTAAACTATTTCAGCAACCAAACAGTCACTAGAGTCATTTTCATTTTCTCACAGGAAAACAAGTTCCCAGATGGCCCCAATATTATCATAACTTTACAAAAAGATGTCTGTTCTGCAGCAAGGCCTGTGGCGGGAGGTCTTGGTGTAGACAGTTGAGAGAAGAGGCAAGGGAGAAAATGTAACAGTTGCAGCTGCAGTGTTGATTGGAGGTCCACTGCACAGATTGGACCGAGGATTCACGGATCTAAACCCTCATGCACGTCTCCTGGATTAGGGTACGGAAAACTGAGCTGGTGGGTTAAATTCAGCCCACAGTCTTTCTTCTTTGTACAACCCATAAACTCAAGGTGGTTGTTTCGTTTATAAGTGGTTGGAAAATATCAAAAGGAAAATATGACCTGAGAGTTGAAAATTAGTAGAAATTCACATTCCAATGCCCATAAATTAAGTTTTATTAGAATGGCCATGCCTTTTTATTTGTGAATTATTGCGATAGTTGTGTCACCATGGCTGGGGTAGGCTTTTCAGCAGTTTGACAGTTGAGACCTCCTGATGATGTCATCTAATATAATGTAATTAACTCCACGATGGAATCTGCTGTGAAAAATCAGGCATTGTGGAAAGCTTAGAGTGGAGTGCTAAGTGGAGTGGCTTTATTCCGGTCACTGCTCTGATGCAGTTAGTAGGACGTTTCCTCAGGTGTGGCCTCCAAGAGACACACTGCCACAGAGTCAAGTCCAACTCACAGCAGCCCTATAGGACAGGGGAGAACTGCCCCTGTGGGTTTCTGAGACTGTAACTTTAAAAGGGAGTAGAAAGCCTTGTCTTCCTCCCGCAGCAAGGCTGGTGGTTTCAAACGGCTGACCTTGAGGTCAGCAGTCTAATACATAACCACTATGCCACCTTGGCTCCTTGGGATGTGGCCTATTCCTATAAGGATCGATGCTGTGGGGAAGCTAGTTCACTTTTGCTGGGTCTAGACCTTACGTCGGGCTCTTTGGCCTCCTCCTCGTGGACTCTACATTGTCTGTAGTGTCTCCGTGAGTCAGAATTGACTAGGTGGCAATGAGTTTGCTTTGTGCTTTTATCACTCGTGCTGTGTATGCACATGTCTGCTTTCAGGAGTTACTTCTCAAATCCCAGGGTCAGCCCCTGTTCTTACTTTCAGTGCAAAATCAAGTCAGCATGAATTTGGGAAGTACGAAATACGTCTTGTTAAACAAACCACGTAATGAAGGTAACCTGATATTCCTGGTCATTCTAGTTGGAGGGGAGGACGTAACAGAATTGACTGAATAATAAGAGTCTCTGCTGCTGACCCTACTCATGGATAAAAAAATGTTGGGTGTTAAGGAGCTCATCCTGTCTATGATTATCCATCATTGGCCCACATGCATCATAAACCACATATTCTTAATTTGGGAGAAGAACATAATGGAATCTTCACCATGGCCTGATGGGATAGGAGACTAGATTTGCATACATGGTCCAGTATTTCCTTCAGAAGGTTGCCTCTACTGTTTGTCAAATAGAAAGAAGACAAATGGTATTAAAAAAGCCAAGACTCCTCTCATTGCAATGTTAGAGATGATCCTTTGTTTATTAGACATCAAGCATGATCTAGTTTACTCTGATTTCTAACAAATACGAAGTTGTTATTTTTATCCTTAGATAAAGAAACTGAGGCTCAAATAAATTCAATGCCAGATGATGAGGGTACAATTGGGATTCCAATCCCATGTTCCATGATTCCAGAAGCCACACTTTGCTGTAAACCTTCCCACCTTTCAGACATAGGAAAGCAGAGCCACCCTGGAGAAGTTAATAACTGTGAAGTCACTCATCAAAATGATCATGGTTCTCGATCATACTGACTGTTGTTCTCCCAAACTTCTCAAAGCACAATGGCTCAGTCACGTGGCTGGTAAACAGAAACTGGAGATCAGGAATAACATTTATTACTGCCCATCTGTTTACTGACAAAGCAAATAGAATAGTGCACACCTTGTGTCCGGCTGGGTTCTCTAGTGAGCCAAAGCCAGTGACTCTTGTACTTGTGTGTCTGTCTATAGATAGAGATTTGAATCAAGAAATATTCTACACAGTCGTAGAAGTGAGTGAGCCCAGCTCAGCTCAAGTCTGTGGGTCAGATGTAAGTGAAGGTGTCTCTTGATCCCTGTAGCTGCAGGGGCTGGTAGGAAACAGGAAAATGAAGCAGGAAGACCACAGGCTGGTGGATGCAGAGCTGAATTAATCTGACATTGGCAGTCCACTTGTAGCTCCTGAGATGAACAA